CTCTCCTTTCCTCTCCCTGAAGTCAATAAAGATATATTTTTAAAAAATAAAAAATAAAATAAAATAAAATNTCTCTTTTCCTCTCCCTGAAGTCAATAAAGATATATTTTTAAAAAATAAAATAAAATAAAAAAGAGAGAGACTTCAGCCCTTCCCCCCCACAAAAAAATCTTCGACCAAATCAGGGTCTAGCAGGCGTCTTTTCTGCCACTTCTGTGCTGTTCATTCTCTACTCCCCTAACCTCCCCTGAGCCTCTGCAAAGCTGACACCTTGTGAGCCAGGCAATCTCAGTGCATCTCAGACCTGGTGGCATTTTTCTGTTGAATTAGTGAGAAATACAGGTAAAAACCTGCTTTTATAGGTATGGGGTAGTGATGCTTTAAAAAGGAAACAAAAATGATCAAATAACCCCTTGCTGAAATGTCTATTTCTACTTACATGACTTGATTTGAAGTAATCTGTTACTATGGATGCTGTCTGAGTATGATATGCCTGTGTTATCTGTTTATTCAGCTGTATTCTTTGCATTTGAAGGCGACAAAGTAGATGGCATCATTTTATATGTAGGATTTAACAATAACAGCAAGTAACCTCTGAATTCTTCATTGTGTGAAACTTGGACATATGCTAATGTCAGTGTCATTCTTTGGCTGACCAAAGTGGTTATCTCCATTTTAAAGATAAGAAAACCTGGGGCACTAAGATGAGTAACTCAGCCATACAGCTTAAGTGGCAAATGGGAAGCTCAAACCAAAGTCTTCCTGTTCCCAAACCTGGACTCTGCCAACCTAAGCCAATAAGAAATCAGTTCAGATGGTGATAGCTGGCATGATTCTATCAGCAATCATTTGTCACGGATTTAGGAAACGTTTTTATTACTAGCAGTAGTTGTAGGTGGTTTACAATTTTTTTCTCTAATACAGATGAACAGTTGTTTAAAATATTCCATGACATGTAGCTATTGATGAGAGAACCATTTAATGAAATACTTAAGAAAGAGGAAATTCTATAAACTTTAAAGTTAAATTTGTGACATTAAAAAAAAGAAAAGAAAATTGCCTCAGGATAGAAATCAAGTTAGTTGTCACAGAGGACTAGAAAATTTCCAGATGCCATTGATTGTGTCAGTTCACTTTGCCTTTTCCTGACCATCACTGCTGGATATTAAAACAAGACCTTAGGAACTTAATTTCTGTGGCAACTTCTAGCCCTACTTTGGTATCCTATCCACAAAAATAAACAATTGGAAATGAGAAAGCTAGGTGGGGTTCCTAAGAAGCCTGAACCATGGAAGTAGCTACCTGACTGCAGAGAAATGGTGGGAGTGGAGTAGCAGAACCGGGTTAGAGAAAGGAGCTTCCCTGATTTACATGTAATTTTGTAGTTATGCAAGGTTTTAAACATAGATTTCCAGACCCAGTTGGCAGTTATGCCATCCGACATGCAGTCAGGAGCCATGGGGTCAGCTCCTGCCACTTTCTATCCTGTATAAACCACAGGCAAGTCCGTTCACCTCTCTGAACTTGCATTCTCTCCTCCAAAAAATGGAGCTAGAAATATTTGCCCTACCTAATTTGCCTGTTATAAAGGTGATTGTCGTGTAGACTCTAATGCAATTCTAAAATTGATATGATCATACACAATTAAGTCTATTTGTTAAGCAATTATTTGCAATAAAAAATATAATACTTTCTAAACAAAATTTGAGATAGATACATCTATTTGTATACATATACGATATCTTATTAGTAGCTGTATCTGCAACACAGACTTTACGTAAATTATTAATTTTGTGTTTTAAATTTAAAAGTATTTCCTACTTTTACTTTTAGCACCTATTAATATACCTTTTTTTGTATGAAAAATTATATTTCATATAATGATGACAAATGGAAGTTTTGCTATTTCAAAATGATTTGCACTGGTCTTCCCTTCACAGTTAAAACTGCTTTTATTTTCTGTACATTTTAAGAAAGTAAAGCCCCACCTTACACAATCATGTTACTTTTCCCTGTAGTCATGGTGTCGGCTCGCCCGGCAACACACCCCACAGATCAGTGGATGGAAGGCCCACTGGAGCACCTGTTCAGGGACTTGAATTTTTTTTCTTTGCCTTGTTTTGCTTTTTTCATGTAATTCAAGTACGGGTGCAGGGGACAATAAAATTCAGTTCCTTACTGGCAAGTTTTGGCCTAGATTTGTGAAAAGTGAGTCATCAATGGAGTTGCTAATAGCAAACGTGGCATTTTCATATTGTTTAAATGGGGCGGCCAGACTATTGGGCCTGTAGATACGGAGTAGGAAGTAGAAGGAACCCTGTGTTAGAAATAAACACACAGGAAATACTTATCACAGCATTAATTCCGTGAGGCTGGAGAACTGTGCCGATCTTAACGTTTTCGCAACATTTCCACTGAAATTGTTCTGAGGTGAGAAAAAAATGCGTGCACTGTATAAGACAAGCCCAGGACAGGGCATTAGTGCCTAACACAGAATTACAGCTTGTGCTGCATTTCCCACACTCTCCCCAATTTTTCCTAATCCTCGCGTTCCGTTCTCCCATCACTTGGCTCAAATGCGCCACCCTAGGTTAATTTTAGATTCTTCCATAACCTTTTTCCATGTCTACTTTTATTTCTCCCTGAAACACTGAAAAGGAAACTATATTAGAAGCATCCCAAGATTAAAATCACTGTTCCATATATAGATTTTTTGTAAACTAACGCTGGAGGTTAGGCTGAATTACACATCATCCCGTCCATTCCATTCCGTGAGGCTCAAACTACACTGTAGTGGTGAGTGACTAATACTTAGCAAAAGGGAAGGAAGGATTATGAATAACTTCCAAACTTACAGTACCTGACGACAGTTTTTATCAGCATTCCTGAGTCATACAAAAGAACCAGAGAATGGCCTTTAAGAGTCTGTTCCTAATATCTAAATACTTGAGGTCCTGGCAGGGCAAGTAGAGGCACCCACAAAGTGCGGGTTCAGAGCCAAAAAAATATTGTGGCAAATGAAAACTAATTACAGAAATAATACAAACATAAATCTTGCAGAATTTCTTTTGATGTATCTTATAAAATAAATGATTATAATTTCAAACACATGTCACAACTCAAATTCTTGGCACTCTGTCTTTTAAAGTAATAAGTTGATATTAGGTGTTCCAACTGTTATGCTATTTTTATCTTTTCTCTTGAGACAATCACAGTTAGTTCTGAGCACCAGGGCACAGACCTGTCACTTTAACTCCGAAGCCTTATAGTCCTCTGTCCAGACAATTTATACTCACCTACATACAGTTTACACTTGAGCTCGTTTTCCTGACCCTACAAAGTTTATACTTCAGTTGTTAAATAGATTTTGTCTTTTATGAAAATATGTTTTAATTTATAATTTATATTCTCTGAAAAAAGAGAAGGACTCTAGAAAGCAGATCGTTTTTAATAAAATTGATTGTAGGACACACAGGTTTCACCTTATTTTCAAATTTCTTTGTTTATAACTTTTCAACTCATCAATCATATTTTCAAACAATATAACACTGTATCCATTGAAAAATAGCTTGCAGCTTATGTAAAATACTAAGAAAGAAATTAGTCTTTCTTGTACATAGTAGCATTCAGCTTATATGGTCTACCTCTGCTGACCAAAAGAAGTATTCTTGAGGAAAAACCCAATTCAAAAAATAGAACTCTACCAATAGATCTGTGCTATTAAATTTAAAGAATTTTAAGGGAAGAAGCAGTTTGGTGTAAAGATTAAGAGCATAGGCACTGGAGTCAGACACCCTGGGCATAAGTTCTGCCCAGGTCTGTCTGTGCTGCTGTGTGTTTGGGTGAGTCACGTAAGCTCTCTAACCTCGTTGCCTTTTCTGCAGAAGAGGGTACTTCACAAGCTTCTCTCCTAACTACTTTAATTTTCTCCCATGGCCCTTAAGTGGTGGGCGAATGATTCATTTCGGCTATCCAGGATTTTTTTATTTCTCACCTCTTAAAGATTAATAATCAAAACAGGGAGACATCTGAGCTCCCTTCCCTACTCGTCACTGCTTTCTGCCTTCGTGTGAGTGCCTGCGCGGAAGGGCATAACATGTACTTGGTCTTCAAGTAGAGACATTCTTCTCTGTCACCTTAAGGTTAAGAATATCCCTCCAGGTTAAGAATAGGGATCGTGTCATATTCACCTCTGTCCCCCTTAAAACATCTGGGCAATGTCCAGTAAATGTCTGCCACATTGAATGCAAAATGCCACATATTGTAGACACTTTCATTTCCAATAATTTCAGTACACAGAGGATATATGGGTATATGTAATTAAACAGATGCAACAAACAGAAGAGAAACTGTCATGTAATTACTCACTATATCATAGTGAAAGCCACAGAGGATTTGGAGCAATGAACTTGGCTAAAACGTGAGGAATATATTTTTAGTCTTCCTGATCTGTAGAGACAGAAATATCTTAATTTATTGAATGGGATATGAGAACATGTAAAGTGCCTAGCACATTACTTAGCAACTCAGAAAAATGTTAAGACTTTTTGTAGAAATTGTATTCACCACTTTAGAAAGTCCATGGTCACAGTTCAGTCTACGTGTTACTTTAGCCTGTAAGTCACTCGACCTTTATACTTCAGCCAGGACACTCCATTGGTCTGGAAGCATCAGCACAGCCTCTACAATTTCAAGCCCAGTTATCTGTGTCTTAGGAGATAGGCTGCAATAATTTATAAGTAATTGGGTCAACATTTTCAAAATAATTTTAAATATGAAAAACTCGCTTTTTCATTTTTTCATATATAGTATGTATTACTTTTTTGCAAGTTTGGGTTGGATTTTAAAACTCAACAATTTTTTTCATAAACCTGATTTTTATCTTTTAAAGAAGATAACAATGCAAATCGTTAAGCTGTATAAATTTGTGTTTCAGTACTTTTTGAGACATCACAGTTTGTAAAGTATTTTCAAGTTTATACAAATTTGACTCCTAGTGCTTTTTTAGGGGCTAATTTGCCAAATAGCAGCAACAACATCTGGTGAAATGATATTGTATTAATTTGTAACTTATATCTTCGTTTCCTAGATTAGGAATTGACAGACTGAGAAATTAAGTAATTTACAAACACACACAATAATCTTAGTGAGCTTATCTAAGCGAGTCGTCGGGACTGCAATGCCACGTTCTTTGAGCACATAGAAGATATGGTTCAGCCAACCTTTCTCTTCTGTCCTTGCTCTCTTAAGATGCTAAGGCTCCTGTTCCCAAATAGCACCCACTATCCCAGGTCATCCAAGCGAAAGAAGGCCTCCGCCTCACCTGTTGCCCTCATTGACGTGGAGCTGACCACCTCAGAGAGTAGGACGTGCAGTCCCGCATGTCAGCTTCAGGTCTGTAATTGTTGCGCCAGCAGCACGAGATAAATAAGCCTGAAACCCTCATACGAGTCGGATGTCATATCCCCCGGTCTCCTGAGGACCTGCTTTCCTGTTATTTTTTCCATTCTTGCTGGGGCTCGGAAAGGGGAGAGCCTTCTGGTAACTACCACTCATGCTATTACTATCTTTGTTGAATGAATGAAATAGCTGAATCACTTCAACCCTCAGAAGTAGCTGATGGATGTTCAAATGGTCCTTTGTCCTATCGCTAGCTAAAATGTCCTTTTCTTTTGCAGACGGCTAGCACCTTGGTTGTGGCTGACTCTAGAATTTCTGGAATCTACAGCTGCATGGCTTCTAATAAAGTGGGGACTGTGGAAAGAAACATAAGCTTTTATATCACAGGTAAGCCACACACCCTGTACTCGCAGAAACAGCCTGGTGACCTCGGCCTCTCTTCAGAGCTTGCTTGCTTTGAGCACACTCGTAGATTGATTTTTATTTAGAAAAAACATTCCACGGAATTGTTAAAGTTTGAGTGCCTTCATCCTTGCTCTTAGGAACAGTATTCTACACCATCATTGAATCTTCTAAAGAGCAATTTCCCTGAATTCTCTTTTAGAGCTGTTTGTGTACGTCTGGCTCCCAGGCTGGACTGTGAATTTGGGATCTTGTCATGTTCATTTTTTAACCCCCTTCAGTACCTAGCACAGGGTCTGGCATACAACACTTGTTCAAGAATATTCAAGGAGCCCGGCTGGTGGTTCAGCTGGTTGCAGCGTAGCCCTGTGCTCCAAAAGGTTGCGGGTTCAATTCCTGGTAAGGGGCTTCTCTCTCACATTAATCTTTCTCTCTCCCTCTCTCCCTCTCCCTCTCTCTAAAATGAATGAAAACATATCCTCTGGCAAAGATTAAAAAAAAGAAGGGTAATAATCAAGGAACCCAATTATAATACATGTGATGATATTTTTTTTAACCAAAAAGCTAATTGTTTCATAACTGAATTTCAACTTTTTGGGAAATGAGGCTCTCCTACAGAAATCTGAAACTGAGCTTTGTTGACAGTAATCAATGTACTCTTTTTTGGTAGCATTTAAGAATTTTTAGCCTTAAATAAGACCGTCTCTGCAAATCTTAAAACTTCCAAGGTACACAAATGGCACTCCCTGTGTCCCTCCATGGGTACAGGAAGGAAGTAAGTAGCTCAAAGTATAAAAACAATTGCCTGGCTCCACACTCCCCCAATTTCTGAGGAAACCTGGGCAGTTTGCCAACTCTGGAAACTTCGCACTGCATGAGGCTGCATAAGGCAGGCTGCAGTAGTTGTCTAGAGTTTTCCAGAAAGAAAGAGGTCAGTCTGATTTCATGAGACCTATGGGCTGTCAGCTCACAGGGAGCCTTCTGGCGGGTAAGCCAACCCTCCCCGAAGCTGCCATGGAGACAGCCCTGAGCAGGCTGTCACAGAGCGTCAGAGCTGGGAGAGACTTCAGAGGCATTCTAGCCCCGCATTCTCCAGATAAGGAAATGGCTCTGGAGATGCGGGTAGGCACGCAGCAGAGATGCTCCAGACGGGCTCAGTCCCTGTCCTCTCACATTTGAGAAGTGGAAGGGAAAACGTCTTTGCATCTATTCCAAGTAGGAAAATCCTTTATTTCGAGAAGGATTCAGATAGCAGTTTCACACAGATCTGATCTCAGATAATTTTGACTAATTAAATACAAAGGTTTGTACTGTCCTGTATATTTGGTTGGAAACAAGTTACCATCCGAATCTATAGCTGCTGTACGTGTGATTTAGAGGACAAAAGACTGAGCAACTCCTGTTCTGTTCCAAATGGTCCACAAGTGTGTACAAGTTAATAGCACCGGCTATCAGATAGTACAGGCCAGCTCTGTCCTGGGCACTTGCAGGGATATCAACGAAGCCCTCTCTTTCTAGGAAGACAGTTTAACACCCAGGAAACAAAGAAGAAATGTTAAATTATATATATCCTAGTATCCAAAGGGATGTGCAGAAGTAATGTGATGGATGAATTTACCAATGTTAAACCAACGCTGTTCAATAAAAATATAATGTAAGCCACATATGTAATTTAAAATTTTCTAGTATCCAGATTTTTAAAAAGTAAAAAGAAAAAAGTGAAATTAATTTTATTTAACCATTATACCCAAAATATTATCACTTCAACATGCCATGGACATTTTTAAAAATACTACACTGCTTCAGTTTTTAAATTAATTGAAATAAAGAACTGAGTAAAATTCTTCAGTCACGCTAGCCACATTGTAAGTGCTCAGTAGCCACATGTGGCCATGGGTGCAGCACGAAGCCTCTGAGAAGGAAGCACGACTCGAGGTGCTCCTGGATCTGAGGTGGTACTAAGGGGGATTCGCATCTGAACAGACAGAAAAATTGTCTTGTCTTGGCCTGACATTTTCAGTGCCAAGGCAAGAGTACCAGTGGAAGCCCACAAACAATATATCTAACCACATACAAGTTCTAAATCAAGCAAACAAGCTGTTAAATATGTTTCAGCCTCTGGGGACAAATATGCCTTCATGATGAACTGAAGGGTCAGGTCCAAATTTAGAATTCTGGCACTACTCAGAGCGCCTGGAGGTGCAGAAGGAGCTGCCCCTGGCTTGCCCATCTTCGTTTTCCACTCCTGGCTCTGTCCCACACAGCGAGGCCCATGCACCCATGTGTACAGGTTCCCCAGCCCACACATTCAAACTGTCCACACCCTCATGGACAGTCTTCCCTGGGACATAGAAGTGTGTTTGGTGACAAGCGATCTGATGTCAGGAGGACAGACCTAACGAAGAGGAAAGAGATCTGACACAGTCTGGAAACAGACTTGGGGCCATCTTTACAGGGAATTCTGGGATCCCAGGGACCCCAAGAAAGATCTAGAAGTGGGGGTAGCACAGGGTCTGAGTGGGTATGCCCACTTGGCCCACAGACTCTTTACATTGTGAAGAGGGACAGCCAGACAGAGCCCTCCAAAGGCCCAGAACAGGGACCCCCTCTTGCCTGAGTCTGAAGGCAGCACCGGTAGAGGATGTTCAGAGTGGAGGGGACTGGCCTGCTTGCGTCCGTATTGTTCAGCGTCCCCCGGAAAGGTTCCCTGGTGCCCAGCATGAGCTGCAGCACCAACGCCTCGCCTGTCAGCCCCGCTGAGTTCTTCCTTGCCCCGTCATATACCCACGCATGGTATTGTTGCTGATAGGTGCCCATCTGGAGAAGCTGATCAAGATTATCAGCTGAATTCAGAAAGAAATTCCCTCTCACCTCGCACTACTTTATACAATTAATAACCATGGAGTAGATGAGACCTTTTCTAGATCCCAGGGCTTGTCCACAGAAAGGAGCACTGAGAATTCAATTCAAACATACCTACTTGAAGCTCTCACCATTTTTCCTTCATAAATGCAAGAACTTTAATCCTAAAATTGAGCACAAGTTTAGTCAATCAAGCCCCCATTGCCTGGAATATAATTTCTCTGAATTCTTTCTTACCGGTCCCGAAAAGTTCTAGTTTTGATTGGTGATAACAGATTTGTTTGCTTACTCATTGTTTCAAAACTAATTATTACCTTTTCCTTACTCAAATCTGTCACTAGACTTACCCTCCCTGGAGCTGAAACCGGGTACTGTTGGGAATGTCGCACCTTACCTGTCTGTTTTCTGTGTTTATTCCTGGACCTCGTGCACATAATGCTTTAAAAGGTCTGTCTGAAATTTAACTGCTTTAACTCTAGATCTGGATTTGGATCTTTATTGAGCCTTGTTTCAATCATGTTGCCCCTTAAAATGCAGTAATAACTTAGAGTCGCCTTCCAAACTGATGAAAAGTGGTTACCTGTGGCCACTAGAGCCCCTCACTGCTCCAACTCTGAACTGTGCCATTGCACATACACAGCAGCTACTTGAAAAAGCAGCACTTTCTGGTAACCGCGCGCTTCCTTTTTAGAGAATGGGATTTCTGCTCTCTGGTCGCAGGGAAGCCTTCCTATTCCCACCTGACTAATGAGATACCTCGCATCCTTTCATTGCTGTGCTTGTCTCTTTCATGAACTCAACTCACATGCTTGACCAATCAAGTCAAAATGTGTGCCCTGTGTGGACAGGTGACTCTTTCACCTGATCCTAGGTCGAATGTCTCTCCTGGCCAAGCGTCTGTGCTTCTCCTGGACACCTCGCAAGCTGCCATGGGTGATACGTGCTAGATAGATGAGTGTTAGTCGATGCTCATGATGCTTGTGCTGAATCTTCAACAGGTGCCAAAGTCTGGGAAGATTTCTTGTTTTCACTCTGAGAGTTAGAAGGCAGTCCTTTCTTGGGTCTGTTTTTGTACTCAGGCAAAAAAATCAACATGAATTAAGGAGAAAAATCCCTCTGGATTCATTAACTCGTTTTAGGACATTTTATTTATCATCTTCTGTGGGTCAAAAGAGAATACCAAAGGGGCGATGCTGAGAAACAGATAATCATTTCTAAGCAGCTGTCTGGTGACGTACACCAAATTAGCTTCAGTGACAGTGTCCCCCATGTGAAGAACAGACCTCAAAACCTATTTGGGTCTTTTCTTTCCCTGTGTGTGTATTTGTGCTGTTTGCTGGCACCCAGCACAACTATGGGTGTGTTAACAATTACTGAGTGTGAAACAGGAACAGCACTGCCTTATCTCCTTGGCTTCCCAATGTCACTAAATGCATTTTATTTTGAGATTCCTGGTGGTGCTTGGCAAAGATAAACAAAATCTTCCATCAGGAAACCTGTGAGCTAATTTCCACAGGAAGTTTCAAATCACTGAAGTAAATAGAAACTCTCTACTTGATCTCAATGGTGTGACTTGGGCTCACTTAGGTTCTGATACCAGATGAGACCTCGAAAATGGAGTCTATGGTCTTGAAAGAAATGATTTGATGGCAACCAGTGTACAATAGGTCTGTTCTAGTGTACTTGTAAAAGTTCATGGCTGCTGTTTTAACCCTTATGTTTGGAAAATATCCCAAATATAGAAAGATGCTGAGTTACAGGGGTTATTTCTGACATCTTATTGTTATGTTAAAAATGACTGTCAGCTGCTTCTGCATCTTCTGGCACATCCTTAGGTTTTCATTTTGAAGGCAGGAAAACCTCCACTGGTCGCTTCTCTTTCCAACCACTGACAGCTTCATAAGCCACTGTTACCCCCGCTCCCAGGTTTCAAATGAATACTTTGGCATTTCTTCAGACGTGACACTTTATAATAAAGCCAAAGGCCAGAAAAATCAGAAAAACAAGCAAAGTGAGATTTAGGAAAGGGTTGATATGATATCTAATTTTGGACTATTGTCCCTTTAAGGTTTAAAGGTTTCTTTATAGCTTTGTGTCCAAAGGATAATAATAATAATAGCATAACATAATGCTTTTCATCTTCAAAGAACTTTGTAAAATGTTGGCCCAAATTCTTTGCTCAAATACAGATACGCTGCTAGGGACAAGCAATGCAAGGGTTTTGAGAGCAGACAAGTTCAGGGCCAGTAGCCAATGGTTTTTTAAAATCCTCTGGTGAAATGGTCCAAAATGAGCCTGGAAACTCTCAGGGCAAAAGCTAAATAATGGTCCAGGGTGAGAAAGCTGAGTAGAGCTCATGAGGTGTTGCCAGAGGCACTTAAAGATGGAGATGAAGGTTAATTAGGAATGGACACTGGAAAAAATGGCTTTTAATGACACAGTCACTTTAAGAAAATGTTTAATAAGCTTTTGAGAGTAAGTTTGATTTTTAAAATTATTCTCCCCTGTCCCATTGCCACCACATTGGAATCCAGCAACTCTTCCAGATCAATTGTCCACATTTTCAGAAGAAATCTTTGCTCATTGATGTCTGGGTGGACTAAGCTGGCTCTTCTCTGCCCACTTAACCCACTGTGCCAGCAAAGAGCAGGCAAAGCAGTGGGAGAGCAGCGGGGGAGGATGCTAGCAACCCAACTGCAGGGAGCTTGGGAAATTAGCTGCTCTTCACTGGAAACGCCAGGGCGGCAGTGGTGCTGACTGGCATGACTGGGTCTCCTTACACGTGCCTGGGACTTCCTAGTCTCACTTTCACAACTTACTTTGGGTAAGTTTGACTATAAGAGCATCTTTGATTTTTAGTACAAATTGCTGTTACTACTTTACTATTTTGTCCATTTACCAGTAATTCTCTCTAAGATAGAGAAATGGGAAGCATAGTTATCATCCCAAGTTGTACAAAAAAATTCTGTTTTGAAGAGCATTTTGGGGCAAATAAGGAAAATGTCCCATCCTACTAAGTGTCCTGTTTGGCATTTCCTGCTTCTGATGGAATGAAATTAGTTGGTTCCCACCTGCTATGTTTGATCATTTCCCCTAAAATCAACAGATGAATAGTCATTCTTTTAATGCTGATGCTCTGACACACTGGTTTTTCTATAAACCAAAGTCCTTTATTCTTATTTTATAGATGTGCCAAATGGGTTCCACATTAACTTGGAAAAAATGCCTACGGAAGGAGAGGACCTGAAACTGTCTTGCACAGTTAGCAAGTTCTTATACAGAGACATTACTTGGATTCAGCTGCGGACAGCTAATAACCGAACCATGCACCACAGTATTAGCAGGCAAAAAACGACCGTCACTAAGGAGCACTCCATGACGCTTCACCTTCTCATCAAGAACGTTTCCTTGGAAGATTCAGGCACCTATGCTTGCAGAGCCAGGAACATATACACAGGGGAAGACATCCTTCAGAAGAAAGAAGTTACAATTAGAGGTGAGCACTGCAACAAAAAGGCTGTTTTCTCTCGGATCTCCAAATTTAAAAGCACAAGGAATGATTGTACCACACAAAGTAATGTAAAACATTAAAGGACTCATTCAAAAGTAACAGTTGTCTCATATCATCTTGATTTATTGTCACTGTTGCTAACTTTCTGGCTCAGAGGAGATGCTCCTCCCAAAATGAATTTGGAGATAATGGGAGTAATAATGAACCCCCAGGCCCTCGCTGGGCTCCCCATCAGGCTCAGGGTCTCTCTGGGACCCACCTGGTGACCTGGTGCGCGTTTGGATTTGGAGGATCCCCGCAGGCACACTCTGTGCTTTTGCTCTTTGCTGTCTTCTCCTGCCTGATAAACAACAACTGGGAGCTGATCCTTTCCTTCCACTTTGATGCCAACCTCTTTTTATTTTTAAGTTTTAAAGCTGCACAAACTGAATAATTTAAACAGATGCTGGTTTCTGCCAAAGATGGACATGTATAAGTTAATTTTCCAGCTCAGAATGAGTACAGTTGAATTTGAGACTCTTTCGGACCTCGGCCTGGTTTTATTTTGTATTATTTCCTCTGTTTTTCATTTGTAAATAGTATCTGGATAGCACGTTATAATGCTTATTTATTTGAAAATGCTTTTTTTTACATTAAGCACATTCATCTTAAGCTGGAGCTTCTAAAATGGGTCCCACGGTGCAAGTGTTGGTATAATTCAAAGGTATTAAAGGTTTATCACAGTATGAATCAGGACAGGCCACCACAATCAAGGCCGCTCCGTCTTGTGCAATGTGGGCGGCTGGTAAACCAGTCACTGCTTCCGAGGGCCTAAAGGGCCTTGACAGCACCTGGAAGAACGCGGATCACGCCTTCGTTTCAAATATTTTTGTCCCCTGATTATTCTCTTAAAGAACTTTGTCCTGTTTAATTGGTGGCATTCAAAGGTGCACCACAGTCAACGGTTAATAAAGGCCCCCGTAACCAGAAATTTAATGCATTCTCCTAAATGTAAATCTAAAATTTGCCCATTAAAAAAGTCTCCTTCCTCATATACCTATGTCAATAGGGTTTTTGTGGGGATTAAGAAATGGCAAAACTACAGAAGCAGAATTCAGAGTCACTGGAAAACACAGTATTTTTAAATCAAGAGAGATTTATATCTCTTGTTTTAAGCTTGCATTTGAGGGGAAAGTGACTTTTCTTCTCCAGTTTAATATGTACTGTTCTGTTGTTTTCATTTATGATTGATCATTATATGTGACTTGCATGAACTATTGAAAAACAAATCATACTGACCAAAATAGCCAAGGCTGAGAAGTGGACCGGCAGTCAACAGGAGCTGACAATATGACAACTTCTCAGGCTTGGGAACTCTCTGGACTGTTTCCTACTTTAGGGAACAGACTCTGTCCCACGGCTAAACTTGTCTTTCACTTGGGAATTGCTTTTGTCAAAGTGTGAAAGAGTAAACAATACCGTTTCCCCAGAATGCCAGTTTTATGGAGCCCCGAAAGCTCTGAAAACAATTAGCAACCTGGAAGCTGTCAGCCCTAAGGAAAGAATAATCAATTGTATCTCTTACCTATGGCTCCTGTGCCTGGCTTTGTTCATTATGAATCAGTGTGTTCCTTCAGGAAACAATGCCTCAGGACCACAGAGCTGGGGAGCCTCCATTTTTAGGAAAGCTTAAAAAGCAAATGGAATGGTTGCGGGAGTGCTTTTGAAAGCAGGCTGACTTGGCCATGCAGAGTTTATCATTTCCTTCCCCTTAAAACTGCACTTGCAGTTTTCATGGGGAGGGGAAGGGTCTCTATATTCACAGGAGATGATTTTAAGAATACTGTAATTAGTTGTTCACTGTGTAATTAGTTCTCCCAGAGAGTTTCAAAAAGAAAACACATTTTTTTAAAGTTAGTTACTCTTTTGAGTGTGGAGTACGGGGAACATAACAAGAAAAAGAGAAGGAAGAGCCGGTGTGGAGAAGGAGAGATGGATTGGGGGGCCCGAGGCTGGCTCCTCAGGCCCCGTTCCAATGGCGAGTAGACACTGTATTCTTGGGGCCTAGCGGATCTCTGGGGCAGTAACACTGAGAAGTAAGAGAAGAGCCAGGTGGGAGCTCTCTTTGGCTATTGATAACCAGCAGAAATAGTCTGTTATTTCTGATTTTCTCAGTTTGAAGGGATCAGCTCCACTTTGTTAACTTTTGGAAAGCAGCTACCTATTTCCATGAAATAACTTAGGTTTAAAAATATGGGTTTGATGTACTTTTCTTATTTAAAATGTCAAAACAGATTACTATAAAGCATAAAGTGGGAATTGATAGACTGACTCCTTGATTGATTGGTCATTTAGAAACTAGCCAAAAATGAGAATTTTCTCATAAGAGAATGTTTTTTTCAGAAATGGGTACAAAGAAAAAAATCGTAATACTGTATGTTTCAGACATGTTTATGTAAACGTTGTACTTAATGGAAAGTCCTATGTTTGTTCGGCAGCCTTTCTGCCGTTTCTCTTGTCTGAAGTTTGTGTAGGACAGAGAGGGCCTCTGAATGTTCTTCATGATGTTTTTTTGTTAAAAACAAATGTTCTCGTCTCCATAAGCATTGCTTTCCAGTACACCTGCCGGAAAAGCCAAATCCTGCCTGTGTTGATGATGTTACAGTTTGTAGCTATGAAAATTATCTGGGTGCTGTAAGCCCTATATTCAGACTTCCATTTTATAATAAGGCCTATGGGTTATGGAAGATTATTTTAGCATTTTTAGTTCATGGGAAATAATAAATGTACTCAGAGAACCTATTAAAAGTATAATGCAGTGAACTAGATCTGAGTTTTAATGAGATATGTCAAAGTTGGCTTGCCGCTGTAAGACACTAAACAGTAAATACTATTCTTTATTCAGTGTTTCACTGGCATGTCTGGGGTCTTTCCCATGTAAAACTGTCAAAATTGTAATTATCAAGCATGTAAGAGTTACCAAAATTAAAGGTTTTGATAGATGGCTGCATTTTCCATCAGTAAAAGCAATTTGACAGATTGCACAGAATGCAGAAGCAGAAATATTCAAATGGTTCTGCTTAGGGGCAAGATAGACGAGGAAAGACACATGGAAACAGGCAAAAGGATGGTTGCCATAGTTCATTCCACACAATGTTTGAAGCGTTTATAGATGAGAGCATTTCCTTCAGCAGTCTTATTGCCTTTAGATTTCATTTTGTATAAAATGAGAAAAGACTAATGATAAGCTATGGAAATCAAAATTTAATGAGAAATCGGTTTCTTCTAACATAGTAACCCTGCCATGTTATACTTTATCAACATGTTTAAAAGTTATATGATAATACACTTTTTAACCTGAGATTTCTAAATTGCTTCAATGAATGCTAATCCTGAGAGTTTCCCTGCAGGAATAAGAGAAAGGTTTGGGGACTCGGCAGAACCCTGCAGGGACATGGAACCAAAGCCATGGCAATGTGTCATCTCTTATAGCATTGTAATCACTCCTAAGCTGCTTTCACAGTTTTAGTACAATAAGATGAGAAAATCAGAAATGGTCAGAGAAAGCTCATTATTGAAACCAGTGACGCAGAATGTGTAAGTTATGCCAAAACTCTTTTGATTTCTGTTACAGAATTTGCTACAAGGGGGGGAAATGGCTGATTTGGGAGGGTGGGAAAGACATTAGGAGTTGTCTTTATTCTTTTACCTTGAAAGCTTGAGCACCCACCTAACTAGAATGTATATACATCAGCAGGACTGACTGACTACTTCATTAAATAGACACTGTACTCATTGGGGCCTTGGGGGTACTGCTGTTCCTATGTGGGATTTTAATGTTGTAATGTATTGCATCCTAATGTATTAAGTTCATTTTGTTGTACTATATTGGTTGGCATTTTATTAAAATAAATTGTATTGTATCATATTTGTATGTTTTAAGAGAAAATAATATAAAATATAATATTGTACTATTATATAGTGCAAAAACCACAAGTCTGTGCCTCTGCCTCTTGAATGGATCCTTTGGTGGCTTGCATTTGGGAAGGGAACGGAGGAAGGAAATAATCAATAAAGCTTTCAAAGTTCAAGAAATTCTCCTGTTTGGTCTGCTGCCTTGCAACTCAGGTTACTAAAGCTGAGTAACACACACCTGCCATCACGAATGCAGCAATACAAGCACATACAAAATTATAGTAGCTCATCACCACCATGCTATACATTTATGTAAAAAGTCATTACAAACCTATCTCCAAAATCATGTTTTTCCTTTTTAGTTCCCAAAATATTATGCAAAATCCTTAGGTTTTAGAAAGGCTTCTCTCAAACAATAAAATAAAATAAAATAAAAAACAGTTGGCCAGGCAAAAAACCTTGATATTAAAATCTAAAAATAAAGAATTTAGTTCTTGATTTTACTCTGTGTTCCAATGAATTTCAATGTAGTGTATCAACTTAATAAAGAGGGAGCAGTAGGTTAATCACGGAAGAGAAATTTAGGGAACAAAATATGAATGAAACCTTATAGTCAAGTTTTGCTGTTTATATATTTCAAATGTAAGATGCATATATAATAAAAAAATAAGACTGATGAGTAATAACAATTCTCTTTCTTTATTCACTAGATCAGGAAGCACCATACCTCCTGCGAAACCTCAGTGATCACACAGTGGCTGTCAGCAGCTCCACTACTCTAGACTGTCACGCTAACGGCATCCCTGAGCCTCAGATCACCTGGTTTAAAAACAACCGCAAAATACAACAAGAACCTGGTAAGAGAAGTTTTCCTTGTGTTTACCCTCCCTCGTTGTCCCCTTCTTCCGTTAACATTGCTGCACCGCCAGCCAGGACATCTAGAACCACCTGCTGCTAGAGCTGGGAGAAACTGGGCTCCGGTTCATACTTACATCAACTTCAAAGGACTATCTGAGCCTATGGTCCTATGCAGGCCATATTTCTAACCCTATGGAATCGCTTTAAACAGTACATTCAGAAAGAAATGCTAAGAGCTACTCAAAAAAGTTTCAATTCACCTTGACAACAGGGAAATGTTGTCTGGATTAATTCCTTGGCTTGAGGGATAGCAGAGCTTTGAACGCTTGGCATACATGAAGTTCAGAGTAGATTTATAATCTTTTAAATTCACCTATGCCAACTTTAATGATTTGGTAAAAAGAAGAATATTTAAAATTATATTTTATAATACTGGTAAATAAAATATAAACTAACGGTCATGTGTTCATTTTCCTTCAACAAAAAATATATTTTAAAACTACACTTAACTCAATAACTATAAACACTATCTATTGCTTGCTTTATAATTCTGTGGTTAAGTAAGTTTTATGTAAACTTATTTATAATTTAGATTAATAAGAACATTTATATTAAAAATAAAATTGCCATTTATTTGCAATATCCCAACAACCTAAATCAAAGAACTGGCAATATGAAGTGGTCCTTAAATGTGAGTCTTCTACTCAAAGTCCCCCATCTGAATTTAATGCACAGAAAGATTTGTGGTATAATGGCCTCTCCTTCACCCTGCTCCTAATTAGTCACCAGGCCGAACGGGTTAAGCCGACTAAATACTAAATACTTCTCAAATCCAGTCTTTCCTCTGCTTTCCTATTGTTATTCTCTTGGTTCAGGTGCCCATTACCTATCGCCTGAACATCTTGCAGTGTCCTAACTGGTCTCCCCAGCTCTCTTTTCTCTCTTTGTATCTATTTTCCACACAGCTGTATAAAATGCAACTGGGAACATGTCACTTCCCCATTTCAAGTGTTCCGTTGGCTCTTTATCACAGGACCAAGTTCAAGCATCTGACAGAGAAGGCCCTGAACAACTGGCCCTGCCCACTCCTACAACTCTATACTCACCTTAAACTTTATATTCTAGCAATTGCCAAACTCTTGGAGACCACTGCGAACTCCCGGGGACCACTGCCCACTGTGCGTGCATGTTACGCTGCTTCAGCTCCCTATGCTTTTTCCGTTTCTGTGGTCCCTACCTTCCCTGCCTTCCCACCACCTAATACCCACCCATCCCTAAGACTCAGGTCAGGTATTCACCCTCCAGAAAGCCTTACTCATCTCCTTCAAAAGGAGGCAAGTCCTCCATGAGTCATTATTTATGAATGTTCCTATTTTTCCTTCCTGAGTTGTTTAATAATCATCAGTGCATATGTCTATCTCCGCATGTTTTATTGCCCTCTTACTATATCATACCGTCTTTTCTGTGTATGCTCTCTTACTATCTGTGTATCATCATATCATTCCCTCACCCTGAGGGCAGACAAGATAGCTTCGTCTTATTTGTATTTTATTTGTCTTTTTATCCTCAAAGACTGGCATAGTGCTTGGTAATCAATAAATGTCTCGAATGAATGAATGAATGAATGAATGAATGAATGAATGAATGAATGAATGAATGAATAGTTTTCAGAAAACCTTAGCAAGTTCACTTGATAGCCCAAATGCCTAAACTTGGTGGGGGAAGAGGGGACTATATCATAGAATTTTTAAAGTGAAAGGGACCTTTGGAATATCTTTAGCCCCATTTGTAAAATAGAAAATTTAGGCCCAAACAAGTAAAGTCACTTCTCCAAGATGACACACTATTGAGATATGTAGCTTCATAAAAAACTAATCTCTTGAGGTATTCTACCAAAATTAAAAGATGAATAAATAAATAGCTTGCAAAACCATACCTATAACGTCCTCCCCTTAGAGATTCAGTGTTCACACCAATATGTTAAACACCCAAAGACGTCTTCTACTAAAGAAATCAAGTATACTATGGTTTCAAGTTCTGTGTTCCCCCAACTTTCTGTCACAAAATACTCTTCATGAAATGTTAATGTAAGATGTTGGGTGATTCTTTGAAAGAAGTAAATTTGACTTAAGTTCAGTTTTCATACTTTGGATGTAGGTTAAAGAATTATTAGAGTTGAACCAATTTTGAAAACTCAAGAGCATTCTGGGGCTAGAAGATGAACAAGGCAAGAGAATGTTCCAAGGCAATTACTACAAATGGAAAAAAGTTATGAGGTGCCAGGGAGGGTTCGAGTCCTAGCATTCCCCTCATGGGTCAGAGGATTCAGGCAACTCACTTAACCCTTCCTCTCTGAGCCTTGATGTCCTTATTGATAAAATGGGGATAATACTGACCGCCCAGGTACGCGGTAAGGCTTAAGTAAGTTAACATGACTAAGCTGGCACGTGGCCATGACTTAGTAAATGCTCCCTCTGACCTACTTCATTCATATAGAAATTGGCCAGTGAGTTGTCAAATGTCAGACAACTCTAAATCCAATAAAGGTACCTTCCTCCCAGCTCTCTTTGATCTTTTGAGGTCCAAAAGAAAAATATCTAAAGAGTCTTATAGAAATTCTTACATAAAACCTTTCATAGATATTACTGTAATATGCTACTATTAAGATTTATTGAGTTTAACTATACTAAGTTGTCAATTTTATCTCTCTTCCCTTTTTCTTTACTCTTTGAAACTACTACAGCCTTTTGGAAAGGAATTTCTTACTTTTCTGGAGATAATCTCTTACAGGCATATAATATTTATAAAGTTTTATATGCAAGATTCCTATCTGAGGCAGCGAATTCAGCAGCCAATGCAATATGCTCTGTGACTATGATCCTTATGTTCATGCATGTAGATATCTTCAAAAATACCAATTCTTTTATGCTTATTTCTTTTTACAAGCCTCTGAGCAAAGATTACAGGTAACCAAAGCTGAAATGGAAAAACATCAAGCTCACAGCCTGGAAGACTAAAAGCTAGTCCTTATTATACTAAGTCTTTGAAAAGCTAGACTGAATTTAAAAGCCTTGAGAATAAACTACATTCTTTAGAGACTTGAGAAGCATCTTTTATATGAAGCCTGGCAACTCAGGAAGAATTTATATACTGATAGTATTTTAGTGGCCTGGGATCTCTGATAGAATCCTGCCTATTATCACTGTTATTTGTTAAATAACAACTTACTCTGTTCCAAAGAAAATATGAGAGAGGAAGCAGGGTACACGAGAGCTCACGCTCTAGACGAGTGGCCACTAAATGCCTGCTGAAAGAACTTAGGGAACTAGGACTTTTTTCCTCCGTTCTCATTTCCTTTCAGGAAAACCTTTCAGTGGGGCACAGCCGTTCTACAGAAGAAATGCAATTTTAAGAAAGTGTTATAAAAGCTGAGTAGTAAAGTCTTGGGTCAAAGGGGCATCAAGCAGGAACAAAAGGGACCCTCAGCATAAAAGCCCAGGAAAGCATACACACAGGGGACGTGAGGTGACTCCACCAGGGCAACCCAGATAGAAGAAAAGAGGCACGCTGGGGGCCATGCTGCCCGGCACCCCGCAGAGAGGGCGCTCTACTGCCAGCCTGGCAGCTCCAGCAAAAGTTCAGGCTTTCTGGGTCTCCACTGCAGCACCCCACGCTACTAATTCCAACTTACTCCGGCTGGCACACAGTCTCTCCTCCCCATCAGCCTCACCACAAGGCTGCCCTCACTAGGGATCTAGGTTTAGTTTCAATTCCTGTCACTGAGCATGTCACGCAGTTGTTCTCTTGTTTTATGTGTGCTTATTTCTAAAACCTTTGTAGGTAGCTATGTCTTAATACATCTTCTTTATTAAATAAATAATAAAGACTGATTGAGCATTCACCAGATACTAAGGCACTGTGTTAGGAGTTTTACAAATACCTCGTTTACTTTTCACAAGTATCGTCTGAGGTAGGTAATATTATTAGATGCATTTCCCAGTCTATTTTAACAGAATGAGCACTTGTTGGGTACTTGGTACTGTTCTGAGCACTTTATTAATAGTAATTTGTTTGCTCCTCAAAACAGTTCCATGAAGTTTGTTAAATTGTTATGCCTATTTACAGACCAAATGATGGGGAAGTGGAGACAGGAGGAGGAATGACTGGCTCCAAATCATAGTTAGTGGGTGGGTGACCATGGCTTAAGCCAGAAGTGGGACTGTGGGGCTGTGCTCTGCACACTGAAGCTGTGCAGCTCAGCAGTGGCTCACATCACTCACAAAAGGACAGATAGGTACTAGTTTTAAATGACCTTGTGGGCACAAACAAGCATGTATTTAAAACAATGAATATCTTCTCATTTCCAACCCTTAAAAATTAAGCTTCCTAAAGACTACAGTTTATTTTTTTATCTTATTAAAAAATTTTAAAGCATAATAAAAAATTTTAGAGCATTTTTTAAAGAGTGGACATGCCATATATAAGGTTAAAAATCATTTTGAACCCAAATCTAGTTACTTATCCGTTTTAAAAGGTCCAGAATGCATTCCATATCAGCCCAACACTCTTTTACTCACTTAACAAATATTAATAAGACGCAACTTTGTGTCTGGTGCTGTGCTAGACTTGAAGAATACAGCAGTGAACAAGAAAACTGAATCTGCCTTGGCCGGTGTTGCTCAGTGGTTAGAGCATTGGCTGAGCAACAAAGGGTCTCGGGTTCAATTCCCAGTCAAGGGCACGTACCTGGGTTGCAGGTTCAGTCCCAGGCCCTGGTCGAGGCATATGGAGGAGGAACCAATCAATGTGTCTCTCTCACATCAATGTTTCTCTCTATTACTTCTTGAAAATATGCAAGAAGTAATAAAGGTAGGAGAACCTCCAAATTAGAGCTGAGTAAAAAAGCAACTGTTAACTATTAAGAGGGACTGATAGGGTACAAAGAGTTGAAAGAAGAAGGTAATTTGAGACATATTTACTTTGAAGGGACAGGTAAAAA